GCCGAAGGCGAGTTCCTCCTCCTCGCGCTCTGCTCTCTGCCACGATGTGTCTGCGCAGAAGTTGCCTGGTGTGTGATGCTGGGCGTTCATCCGGCTTCCTGACTGTAGATCGGTTTCTTTCACTCATCCTCGAAAGTTCACAGCCATTCTCTTCAGATAGTGCCACTGCCCATTCTGCCTCCTCTCTTCTGGGGACGTCAGTTCAAGTTTTAGGTGTCCTCACCATACCCTTTGTTTCTCCTCTGCCTGCTTTTGTATTTTCCACCTTTTTGTCTACAAGCTTCATTCTATATCTTTGCTAGTGGCCTGTTTCCCAAGTCACTAATTTCATCTTTGGCAGTGTCTAATCAGCTGTTAAACCAATCAGTTTCTTAATTCAGTTATTGATTTTTAGTTATCAAAATTCTATGTTTTTTATCACATTATTTCATTTTTATATTTGCAAATATAAAGCATTCCATGCAAGTATTTTTTTCACTTTCCTTATGCATCCAGTTGTTTTATAGTCTCTTTCTGTCACACGTTATGTCTGACACCTTTATCAGTCTTTTTCTTTTCTATTTTTTTGTTCTGACTGTTGCTAGTGGTACGTTGTTTCACTGTACGCTATGTGGTGTTATGTTTTGTTTGAGTTTATTTGGGCTTTTTATTGGTAATTTGAAAAGCTGGTTTTAGAAATCATTTGAGATCAAAGTGAAAGTATGTTTCCCAAGACACATGCACTCCCCTTCTGCTGCGTTCTTGGCAGTTCCACCTGTCCTGGAAACGTGATCCGCATTCGAGAGTCAGAGTCCCCAAATTACGAAGGAAACCTGAGCCTGGCTCCATCACCACGTGCAGGCCTTCTCACTTGCAGGTCTCCCTTAGCTTGAGATCGTTGCTCTTTGTATCCCCACCTGTCCCGAGAAGGAGGAACATTTGTTGGACCTCTGCCTCTTGATGGTCCTGATCTTCGTTTTTGCTCCCTTGTGCAGGTGTAGACTGTTGAGACAGTTCAGACTCCTGGGGGTTGCATGTGACCTCAGAAAAAAGGAGATTTTGGAATCCTTTACGTCTCTGGTAACTGATTTCAATGTGGCCTAGAAATTCCTCACTATCTAGTCAGCTCCTTATTTCTTTGAAGAATTAAAAAATATTTTATATGGCATTTCTTACTGTTTTGGTGGGAACATCGATTTAAATAAAATAGCCTGCCATTACCCAAGATCACAGAACTTTCTTGCAATTTTTATATAAAGAATGCTACACAAATTTGAATAAAAATTTCTGATTAACTTCCATGGCAGAACTTTCCAAGGGTAAAATTTTGAGGTTCCAAATGTGGTAAACCTTCTTCTTGAGAATGCAGCAAGCTTTCTTTTATCAACAAAGTAGACCTACAGTCAGATGTCCAATGATGTTTCCTCAGTGATGGGCCACATATGTGATGGTGGTCCCCTAAGATAAAGTTTGCCATAAAACGCTGTGTCCTGTTATCCAGCAGCATCCTCACCCATCTCATAATTACTGTATCGTTTTCTCTTGTGCTCATTTAATCTCATGTTGTTCTATTCATCATGACCCCTAAGCATATGAAATCACCACTAATGTTGTTGCCAGTCAGAGGCCATGTTGAATAATTGATGTGGAAATGAAATTTAAAATGATTAAGGACCATGGATGTGGGAAAGCAACAAGACTAACAAAAATGCAAGAAGGGATCCTGCGCCTGTTACTCAGTGGTCAGTCGTTATCCCAGGTACCAAGAGGTTTGATTCTCGGTCAGACCACATGCCCAGGTTTCGGGCTCCATCCCCAGTAGGGGCTGTGCAGAAGGCAGCCAATGGATGTTTCTCTCTCATCGATGTTTCTATTTCACTCTCCCTCTCCCTTCCTCCATCTCTAAAAAGATGAATAAAAACATTAATAAAAAAAAAAGTTCAAGAAGGGCCTCCTTCAGACATGGAGACACTTCTGTTGACCTAGATTGAAGACCAGACACCTGCATATCCCACTCAGCACCATGATGACCACGGCCAGAGCAAAAACGATGCTAAAGAAAAGGCTGGGCCTTGCCCGGCTGGATGTGACTCAGTGGTTGAGTGTCGACCTGGGATCCAGGCGATTGGGGTTCGATTCCCAGTCAGGGCACATGCCCAAGTTGCGGGCTCAATCCCCAGTCAGGGGCGTGCAGGAGGCAGCTGATCGATGACTCTCTCATCATTGATGTTTCTGTCCCTCTCCTTTCTTCTCTCTGAAATCAATAAAGATATATTTTAAAAAAAAAAAAGCTGAGCCTGGCCAGTGTTGAATTGACTGCTAGCTGTAGGTGGGTTAAACTATTCAGAAATTGTTACTTACTCCGTAACGTGAGAGTGAGCGGTGAGCCTGAGTGCTGATGTGAAGGCGGCTGAAGGATGTTGGGAACTCTGGATAAGCCGACTTTGGAGAGAGATTACTTGTTGGAGTGAATATTCAATGTGAATGAAACCTTTCTGCTCTGGAAGTAGATGCCTAAAAGGACTCTCACCCCTAAGGAGACCCAGTCAATGCCGGTTTCAAGGCTTTGAAGGACAAGATAACTGTCTTGCTTGGGGGTGGTGTTGCAGGTTACACGTTGAGGCATGCTGTGGGTGGGCACAGGGAGAACCCAGGACCTTCAGGCACATCAGTGAGCACACACTGCCAGTGCGCTGCGGAGCAGTAGGTCACGACGACCCAGCGCTGCCTCCAGGATGCCCTCCTGATGCTGTGCCCGGGGATGGAGGACTGTGGAGAAGAGCGTTCCTCTCAAGATTCTGCTTATTGTTAATAATCCTCCTGGCACCCTCTCTTTACTGGTGATCATCTTCCCGGTATCAAAGTGGTGTTTCTCCAAACTTTACCTCTTTGATCAAGCGGATCAAGGAATTACAGCAGCTTTTAAGGCCTACTGCCTGAGGACGACCTTTGCCCAGGCTTTTGCTGCAACTGAGATGATGCTGAGAAGACACTGATGCAGTTCTGGGAGGACCTCAGCATCTGTGACGGCATCAGGAACCTTGCTTAGGATTCGGATGATGTCACCAGGGAGTGTGTGTTCTTGCCGTGAAACGAGACCCGTTTCAGATGTTCATTCCCAGGGGGACAGGGCCTGACACCCTGCCTGCACCTTCCTCCTTCCCATCCGACGTCACAGGTCACGCTGAAGGGCAACATGAGTAACCACTCCACCACCTGCAGATGTGCCCTGGGGTGTAGAAAGGTGTGTTGACTTAAAGGACAAAAATTCACTTATTTTAAAGTTTAACATTCAATGTTACTTATTCCATGTAAAGTTAAAGATAATGCATATATGTGTATATACGTTTATATGGAAACTAGGAGCATGTTAGTATTCACAGCTTTGGATCACACTAACCACGGCGGTGGTTTTATTTGGCAGTTTGCGTGTGAACTTGGACATGGGCAAAGCAGCATACGGGTGGATGGTGATGAGGGATGAAAACATCCCCGGCACAGTGGTCCGGACCAGCACCATCCCGGAGGAGCTGGGCCGCCTGGTGTACCTGCTCACGGATAAGACAGGTACCGCTCCTGTGTGTGCCTCGGGGTGGCCTGGGGTGTGTCTGCGTGGGTTTATGGGGGGGGGCGCACACAACAGCACTGAGTCATATTTAGCGTTTCTCAGACTCTGCTTTTGAAAACTGACACAATTACTCTATCTTCTAATATACACAGTATCATCAGAATTAGCAAAATATTCTCAGATTGGAAGGACGTTTTTATATTTTGAATTTTCTACAGCCTCACAGTTTTTTATATTTTTATTTAACTGCTTTTATTACACCTCTCTAGTGGCATTTTGAGAGCAAAAAATTGCTTGTTTATTATAGAAAGACGTGTGAGCTATTAGGAGAAAAAAATAAGATGTGAATTTGGTGTTTTAACAATGATATTCTCCTAAAGAGCCTGACCACAAATGATATATCTCACCGTGAGGTTTCATGTCCAACATTCTATTTGTCTTTATTTTGTTTTTGTTTTTTTCCCAAAGACTTTGTGTCGATCCATAACGTGCTAGAGAAAATAGTTTGAATGCACTGCTATTAAAGGCCACATCGAAGGGTTCAGTCCCTCCATGACTTACTGGTTTATGATTTAATTCAAGTAATTACTAGTGAACTAGAAATAACATTTGTATAAGTGGTAAAGAAAATATCTCAAATAAATTTCAGCGTTTTAAATAAAATACGAAAATCCTCATGATAGGAAGAAGAAAAAGGTCTAACTGCTGCCTCACACCTGTTGTGCCAGCCATCGCAGCAGGGCCAAAGGAGGAGGAGGGCGCCGCGGGCGGGAGGGCGCCGCGGGCGGGAGGGC